CGCGGTGCGAGACGCAGCCGAGCCGCCTCGGGCAGGGCTGCGCGCGCCACACGCCTGCGGGAGCCAACAGACGTGCTCCGGGAAACGGCCCCCGTTCGCGGCGAGCGCCGCCGGCGGCTGGAGGAGGGAGCCGCGGGCAGGAAAGGGCCTGGGCCCGCCCCTCCGGCACAGTCTGCACCCGCAGCCCTGCCCCTGCAGCCCTGGCATGCATGGCAGGATGGCTGCAATTACATTTCTGCTGGCCACCCCTGCGGTTCCTGCCTCATGAAAGTGTCCATCCATTTATCTAGTGTCTATCTAGCAAAAATGGCTAGACAGAGCAACCCGGCTGCCTAGTTAGTGCTTGAGCAGGTGGAACAAGCCCGTAGCTGGGCTCTAGGCGGTTTGAATTGGAAGATGCTTTATCCCTAACACGGCAGGAATCTGTTACAGCGATGGCTTAGCTGGCAAATAAAGCCCGAGGAAAGATTTTAATTACCTTTCAGAAGGGGTACAATTTATAAAAGTTGCCAATTGGATTTATTTTGCAAAACGCCATCCTTCCTTATTGCAAGTGTTAAGGAGGGACATGGATCCTTTGCCCTGTCTTGTGTCACAGTGTGGCAGAGCAGTTTGAAGCATCCACCAGCATCATTCCTCCGGTGGCCCCCTCTGCCCTCTCAATTTATAATAGTGCAAGTGATGCTTGGTGCAACTACGTTTATCTCAGGAAAATAACACGACATTTCTCTGTAGGTGTTTATTCTACTTACAGTAACAAAAACCTGTGAAGTCCCACATTTTAAATGTACAGTGATATATTTTGCAATATAAAATACAATGTACAGAAATTTCTATCAAGTCAACCTAAACAAACACGCTTGATTTCTGCATACTTTTAGGTATGTCTTTAAATTAGAAACATCTTGTTAAAAAAAATCTTACACCATAGTAGATGTTTGCATTTAATACCACCCCTTTTTGCATTTGAAACATTCTGACTACAGGTTTAGGAAACAGGTCTCACTCAAGCAGCCAAGTCCTTGGGTGTGCAAGGACTTCAGAGATGCACCAATGTAAAGTGTGAAATCTGTAGTGAGTTGTATGGGATACATGCTACTTTTAACGTAGACTTCAAGGCGCAAATGTTAATCAAAATCTAATTTTACATTTGCAAAACTATTTTTATAAAAATATCAAAATATTTACCCAACTGTAAATTTACACGGTCAAATAAATTAGCAGGTCTTCTCTATTTCACATTTCAGAATGACGTACTTGAAGTATACATGAGAAGTAGCGGTGTACTGCATTTCACAGTGAATTGCTTTCCCTCTTAGGTTATGGCATTACAACGCATACCATCTTTTCCTTTTCAAGTTTTATTCAAATATGCATACTCCTGCGGACAACTTTTAAAGACATCACCAGCATCATTATGAACTGTCGAAAAGCACTGACATTTTAGTTCAGGAGCAACACCCTTCTTGACTACAAATGACAGAAAAGTGGAAAAATTCTTAAATTTCTAGCAACGTTTTGCCAATACAATGTTCCGCATGAATCAAGGCTAATAGATTTCATAGCATATTTCACCAACTTGTTTTTCTTTCCTTTGGTTTCCCAATGTATTCAAACTTTAACTCTTTGCCAATGTGTTTCTGATGTTTTTTAAAAGCTCCACTGATTATAGAGGTGTTGCATTTGCTTTAGTCATATATGTTTGCAAAAAAGTGACATTTAAAACCTTGCAGCCTCATGAAAGTTATTTATATAGAAGCCCGTGTTTCTTATCTGGATTTTTGATAGCTGGATTCCGTAACTCAAAATACCTTTATATAAAAAGGAAGATAGTGCACTTTTAAGCTTAACATCATATTCAAATACTCCATCAGTTGCAAATAAGTAATAACACTGTTCTTCTGCAGCCATTTCTTAAATACACACAACCCATCCATTGTAAGAACACAAGACAGCAATATCAGACTCCTCTTGTAAAGCAAGTGCGGTAGGAACGATTTTTTACACCGAAACACTACATAAATGAGATGTAAAGGTATGGCTCCTAAGGTCTTGATTAAATTCTCTTATAAAATTACAGTTCAAGTTACTGGAAAACATAACTTTATAATCTTAAAAAGCAATATGCTCTTTGTAGACTTTTTCCATTTCTGTAATAATTGTAAATGGAAATTTTAAGATAAAGATGCAAGTAGAAAAAACAAAATTTCAGAACAGTTAACGCTGTGAAGTTCTGTAAGAAAAACATTATGCACAAAATGCAGCAAGGGAAAGTCCAATATGTTCTTATTTATATATTTGAATATATTCACTCACAGTTCAAAAACTGTTCATTTGTCAACAAGTTTTGTAAGGCTGGCTTTAGAACAGCGTTTTTGTGAAGATAAAACTATACAGTATTTACAGGAATTGCTATGTCAGTTCTTGCTATTATATCTTTTTTGTCAAATTGTTATATATGCAGTACAAACTAATTACAAATTGTTTCTATGACTGATTAGTGGAAGATGATGACGCTTCTGTTTCAGCTGGCTTTTGACTTTCTTTTTGTGGTTCTGGTTTCAAATCCTTACCAGTTTCTTTACTTTTACTTCGATCCTTACGATCTCTTCCCCTGTCTTTGTCACGGTCTCTTTCTCGATCTCTATCTTTCTCTCTGCTTCGATCCCGATCTCTGTCTCTATCACGATCCCTGTCCCTGCTTCTTGATCGATCCCTATCACGCCTCCTGTAGGAATCTCTCTCTCTAGTTCTGGCTCGCTCTCGGTCTCTGTTTCGTTCCCATTCTTTAGCCCGCTCTGAATCCTTTTCCCGATCCTTGTTTTGGTTTCTCTCTCTGTTTTTATCCCAATCTTTGTCCCTGTGTCTTTCCCAGTCCCTGTCTCTATTCCAGTTTCTTCCACGGTCTCTTTCCCAAGGTCTGCCATGTTCTCGATCCCTTCGCCTGTCTTCAAACCCTCTGCCTTGTCGATTCTCTGACTGCTGAGACTCTGGTGGATCTAATCCCTTTTCTTTATTTCCTCCCTCAAATCTCTCTCTCTGTCTTCCATCGAAAGCCTGACCTCTAAATTCAAGGTTTTTGCCCTCTCGGAAATCAGATGACGATGACCACTGTGCTTCCGATTCAGGTCCTTGTCCTGAAAGATTTGAATGCGAAGTAGATGGCCCACCTTCATCCCACATCTCCTTTCTGTGTGGTGGTGGATGACTTGGAAGGTCTAGAAGTGGTCTAGGGGTTGGCTTCATACCTTGTGGAGACTGTCCTTGGAAATGAAATCTAGAAGGGGGAGGTTCATTTTGTTCTGGAAACGCTGGTGCAGCTCCTCTTGGTCCTCCAAACTGAAGTGGTGCTGGACCTCTCTGGTTTGCAAATCTTGGTGGACTCCCTCTCCGTTCTTCAAACGGCTGTGGCAAAAGTCCCCTGGGTCCTGGCATGTGACTTGGAGCTGGACCTCTCTGTCCCTCAAACTGGTTTGGATGAGGGCCTCTTGGTCCCCCAAAATGACTAGGAGGTGGACCTCTTGGCCCTCCAAACTGAGATGGTGGGGGCCCCCCTCTCTGTCCTTTAAACTGAGATGGGGGCGGTCTTCTTTGACCTCCAAAAGGAAAAGGTGAAGGCCCTCCCCTGTTGCCCATAAACTGAGGCGGTTCTGGTCCTTCAAACTGTCCCGGGGGCCTAATCTCATTATATTGGGGATCTGGGAATTCCCTCTGTTCCATGTGAGGTTCCCTCCGATCTTCAAATTGAGATGGTGACATTCCTCTTGGACCACCAATATAAGAAGTTGAAGGGCCCCTATTATCACCAAAAAGAGGCGAGGGTCCATGCTGTGTAGAAAATAATGAAGGAATAGGCCCTTTTTGGCCTCCAAACCTGCCTGGTGGAGGTCCTCTTTGTCCATCATTATTCGTAGAAGCACCATGCTCTTCTGGAAACTGTGGTGCTGGTCCTCTTGGCCCTAGAAAATTGGGTCCGTGAGGTGGACCAAACATCAAGGGTGGAGGCACTCCTTTTTGCCCAGCCATAGGGAATGGAGGCCCTCCTCGGTTTTCTTCAAAGTGTTGGGGAAGAGATCCTCTTTCTCCCTCATTTTGAACAGAAGGAGTTTCATTCTGTTCTGCAAACTGACGGGATTGAGCATTTCTTTGATCTTCATACTGTGATGAAGACATACCCCTCTCTGGTTCAAAGTGACCAGCTGGCTTTTCCTGAGGTATAAACATTGTGCTTGAAAACGAATCCCTTCCTCCTGAGGAATTAATGTCTTGTGACTCATTTGACCATGGTGCTTTATGCATATCTTGCAAGGACTGACCATCATTTGACAGAGGGAAATTAGGCTGAAGCGATGTACTTGGAGGTGTTGGAAGCAGGACTTTACGTAAGGGTTTTGCTGCAGAAGTTTCTCCAGAAGCTGTTTGATTCACAATTTCTGGAAGAACTTGAGACGTTTTCTCAAATTTGATGTTAGGTGCATCTTTTGGAGACAACGTAGGGGGTTTTTCACTCGGAATCCACTTATCCTCACCATAACCAGATGGAGCAGGAGAAATTAATGTTTTATCTTCCTTGCCCAGTGAAGTCTGCAATGAACCTGGATAACTGGCTGGAGGTATTTCTCTTGTAGATAGCTCATTATGTACTATTTGTGACTTCATGCGAGAATCAGCACTGTCATTGTTCTCTGCTACCATCCTTCTTGCCTGTCGTGGATCTCTAATTTGTCTTGGGTCACAGCCCTGGTTCACCACTTGTGCCTGCTGATTGGAAGATGAAGGTAAATCTGATTTTTCTGCAGTTTGTTGCTCCTGCTGGAATAACTCAGTCTTTGTTATGGATGATTTTGGTGGGGGTGACATTAAAGCATCAGACACCGAAAAGTGAGCCATTGAAACACCAACAGCTGCTCGTTGTTGCCTTAGGGCTTCTTCTTGTTCTTCCAGTTGTCTTTTCTGCTCTTCAATTTGTTTGTTTAATTCTTCCAGCATTTTTTGCTGTTCTACCAAGGATGAAGTAGCAGCTATATCGGGCACAAATGGGGCAGATGTTTCCAAAACACTGCTTTTAGCATCAGCATACATTTTATTAGGTAAATCATCAACAGTGACTTTTGCTTCTTCCAGGATAGTTTCATCTTCTGGATCATAGGCTTCATCCTCTTGCTCTGATATTTCAGAGGGCTTTTCAAGATCATACAGTTTTTCACTTTCACCAGTCTCTGTTTCAAAAGCTCTCTCTGGATCATACTCTTCTTCAGGATCATACGGTCTATCATCTTCCTCCTCTTCTATGGCTCTATCTTTCGACATCTGCCCAAACTGCTGTACAATTGGGTCTAACAAAGGAACAGCGGATACTCCTTCACCAATGGTAGCTTGAGCTTCCTGATTCGAAGACTGCACAGTTTCAGAGTCCTTGGCAGCAGATTCAAAAGATTTCTTTTTCCCAAAAAGTGTCTGCAGGATGTGCTCAAGAGGTGTGGCTGTTTTTGAAGAAGTTGCAGAAGACAAAGCAGTTGTGGCAGTGACTGTTGCAGTTGCTGTAGTTGGAAGTGGCAGTGTCATGGGGGAGGAGGTTCCGCTTTTAATTGACGACAATATTTTTAACACTGAAGGTGTGACTGTAGATGGCTCTGGAATGGGAAGCGGGGGTGGAGGTGGTGGAGATCCAGGTGGTGTTGTACTTGCAGTTGAATCTGAAGAATAAATTGCATATTTTGGAAGTTTCTTTTCTTGCAGTGAAGCTACAGGTGCTTTAGAATATGTTGGTACATCAGTTTCTTCCTGTACTTGAAGTCTGCTTCGCTTTTCCTCTACTTTTTCAGACTCCAAGCCAGAGGCAGGGCGTTTTCCTTTTTGACAAATCACTAAACCAAGAATTAAATTTGGACGAGATGACTCGAGACCTGTAAGACAAAAACAAAAATTATATGTATATATAAATATATATATAAACACACACACACAAACGCACACAAAACCCCCAAATAACCATGTTATCTGGAAAAACAGCAAAGCATAGAGAGACAATGGCATTTCTATTTGAATTGCATATGATCCATTGCCAAGTCAGATTTTTCACTGGCACTAGTACACTTCAAGATATTTCAATTAAAAAGCTGTCATCCCTGACGTTTTTCTGGACATATTAGCAACAGCTGGAGTTAACAAATACTTCTTAATATGAAAAAAAATTTCTGTACTTGAAGCACTTATTTTTTATTTCATACCACTGTAGCCTATTCATTTGCAAGTTAAGAAGAATAATGTTGACCAGCAGTAAATATACTGTATACTAATAGAAAGATAAAAATGGGAAAAGCCAGCTGCAGAGATCAAGCGTTCAAAACTTCTAAATTACAATAAAAATGCAAATAATGATTATTAAGGCAGCAGTCTCACATCATTTAAATACCACCAATCTATTATCAAACACAGAAAATGTGATTCAGTTAAGCTTAATCTTTAACTACATTTTTATGTTGTAATTTGTTATACAAACAAAAAAAAACAGATTCATTAGTGTATTATAACAAACTAATACACTCACAAGAGTGCAAAAAGATAAGGAGCTTTGTATTTGTGGGGGTTTAAAAAAATCCCCACCCTATATACTGTTATATGTTGATATAAATTGGGAGGAAAAATGTAAAACCAAATATTTGAGAACTTAATATTCTATGGTATGGAACAGTTCTTTGCACACAAGCAGTAAGATGCCCATTATCTGAGTCACTGGGTCAAAAGCAAATGAGTTTTAAGTCAATTAGACTTGGAGACATCCTTAATTTATCTAATAAGATGATTTAAATATTAGGCAGGCTTGGCTCACCTGGCTTCTATACATTATCTGAAGTTTGTACTGTTTGAAATATGGCAGTACTTGGTCTTACTCAGGATCAGGCCTCCTCTACAAACAGTTACAAAGACAACCTAACTGCCCTAAAGAGTTTACAAATTAAGACTGGACACAATACCTTAATACAGCCAACAATAAAAGGGAAAGGGAGGCAGGACAAGGGTATGAACCATAAAATAAAATGATTATATAGATTACCCATTGTACAATTTGATCCTAGTATCCTAGTATAACATACATATCAGGAATCTGCAATGTTCCTCTACATAGTATTATCTGCGGGCAATTTCTTGCAGGCTTTGTGATCAAAGTGCATCCGGAGAAAGTCAAAGGAAAAAGGCAGACTAAATGGAGTAATTTGGCCAGTGTAGTCCAAAAAGGGGCAACAAGGAAGAGAGGTTCAAAATACTTATGAAAGTAATGGACAAGC